AAAAAAATTATTTTTCCTATTTTCAGTAAATTTTCATTTTATTTGGGTTGGAATTTATGGATACCGTTCGATCTTTTTTTCCGTCAGCTTTGAACGGTCCATTTCAACCACTTTTTTTTTTTTTTTCTTATTACGCTTGTTTAGGGCTGTTTAAAGAAAATGATAAATTACGGATAATCTGGAATCTTCAGGAATGCTCTTAAATCTTAATTGCTGTTAATTCGGATTATGGGTGCTGATCCAAAAAAAAAAAGGGAAAAGAAAAGGGATTATGGGTTTAATAAACTTTAAAGTTTAAACGGCTTTAAAAGACGAAATTGTCCTTTTCTGCGTAGCCAGTAGAACCAGTCTGTCAAGGCGATTTTAGTACACTGCAGACTGAGTCCTTTTTTTTTTTCTTAAATGTTACGCAATTTCTCAATTGGCGATAATACCCTTAATATCACTTTCACGTGTCCTCATCTTTTGTTTTTGTTTTTTCAGGAGGGAGAACGGGAAGGGTATTTTCGACAATAACAAATACTATTAATTTCCTATTTATAAAAGGATTTAACTTTCTTGACCGACAAGACAATCTAGAATCGAAATAACTATGTTTATATAAGTACGCAAGCTCTGATTTATATTGATTAGTTTTTTCTTGAAATTCAACGGGAGAATCCGTGAGCGAAGAAACGAGAACCCCAAGAATTACAATCCTGACTTTCTTCTATTGCTTTCTTTGAGTTTAGACATTGAAAGAGAAGATGGGTTCTGAGCAGAACGAGGGAACCAGTGTCACCCCATCCGAACCAAAGCTCTGTGTCAACGGATGCGGGTTTTTCGGGACGGCGGCGAATATGGGACTCTGCTCCAAGTGCTACCGGGATCTCCGTGTTGAGGAAGACCAAGCTGCAAAGGCAAAGGCTGCCATGGAAAATTCTCTTTCTTTCAAATTGAAGGAGCCGGCTGTTGTTGCTCCAATTAAGTTGGCTGATACGATGGCTGTTGAGCTGCCTCATGTTGGTTCGGGTTCGTCGGCGTTGGGTGAGACATCAGCGGCGGTTGCCAGTGGTGAAGTAGAGGCTCCGAAGGTGCCAAACAGGTGCTTAAGCTGCAACAAGAAGGTTGGCTTGGCTGGGTTTAAGTGCAAGTGTGGAAGTATGTTTTGTGGGGCGCATCGGTACCCAGAGCAGCATCAGTGCTCGTTTGATTTCAAGAGTACCGGCCGAAATGCCATTGCTAAGGCCAACCCTGTGGTTAAGGCTAATAAGGTGGAGAGATTCTGAAGGGGCTTGAAGGTATCTGGTCTGTGTAAGTCAGCATTCTCCATTGATTATGCTGGCGTTTCAAAAAAAAAAAAAAAAAAGGAACTTTCTTTCCGGGTTTTTTTAGTTTTAGGCTTAGCAGAAACTTCAAGGTGTCTGGATATTATTCTCAAAAGTGTTTTCTGATGTTGGGATGGTCGTTGGTGTTTGGTTTAGGTTCATTCGGTAATAAAATGAATCAATGAATTGTTACTTTCAGTTTGCTTTTAACCTTTTTTTAATGGTGTTTCTAATGATTTTCACTATATAATGTATATATCAATTTTATGCTTTCTATGACCTTTGGATTAAAATATCAGTAAAAACTGCAATTTTATTGATTGCCTTTCTCCTGCGATGGAACCCTGAGTTTAAGAGAATTCCGTTTGTGATGTCCCTTTTAAACTGTCATCTTGTTGATCCTATTGTTTGATTTATGCAGTCTCTTTACTGGTTAAGGGTAAACGTGCCTAGTTCTCCTGCCATTCCTAATTGCCTTTGACTAAAATCCCATGAGACCTACTTCATCATATCATTTATGATCTTTTTGCCTGTTAGACCTTTGATGCAGAGTTAAAAAACTCATTGTGCTTGCCTCCATGCTGTTGGGGTTACTATTTTCTAAAAGCTTATTGTTTTCCTTTTGTTTTCCTGCTATTCCTGCAAAATTGAATCACCATCGTATATAGGCCGTATAGGCCGTTTAATAGCATCAGCTCCAATTCTTATTCTTAATTATGGCTCCTCATTTGTGCTGAGAAATTGCTATACTCTGTGTGTGTATATAAGAGCAGTCCTTAGACTGTGTGCTGCATTGTTATATATAAGGTGATGATATCCTTTTTGGCATTCTTTCAAGGCATAGATAACAGACAATGGTAATAAACTTGGGTTTTTCATTCTTTTTTCACATTAGATCATTCTTATTCTAACCTAGCTTAGCAGTGGCTGTAGGTGATATTAGGGATTGTCCTTGTTTGAAGCCTAAAATAGTTATCTGGCTCTTTATAAATGTCTTCTATTGTGCACTTTTGCAGTTATACGCACTTCTTGCTGGCTTTTGTTCCTGACCGTTGATAAGAAATCCCTTACAGAATCTGCTGTTTGCTACTGGAGAACTGAGGCTGTACACAGTCCTGACTCCTGAGGAAGCATCAGGGGAGTCATTGTAATATCTATTTGACTATTTATTTGCATGATGGCGTATTTTTGTGTTCCAATTTCCATACAGCTAAATGGCTGATTAGGAACTTTTCCTGCTACTAGCTTTAAATCTTTTTGCGGTTATAGAGATTTTGCTGCATAATGAAATTGATTGGTCATGCTTGTTACTGTTTACCTAGCGCAACTAAGGGGCCACACTTGCAGGAAACCTTGTTTGATTACGCAATAGGAGTCTTGCACTTCGAATTGACTGCATTTTTCAGGAGAAATTACCATTCCTTGAATCCAGCTCTGTTTGGATTAGTTATCACTCGAGCACTGTTGAACTTTAACAATTCTTCAATGATGTTTCTTTATTTTTTTTTTTTTGGTTTCTCGCCCGGTATCCGGGACTTCGTCCCGACTACTCCGGACTCGATCAGCTGTGGCGCACCAGAATGGTGGGTGGGTCTCCCAGTTGCTGCGCACACAAGGTTTCGAACTCGAAACCTTATTTAAGCTGGAACAAGTCGCTTGCCACCTGATCTAACCCTTGTTGGTAATGATGTTTCTTTATACACTTTGGGTGCGGTGCGGTTGAAATTGCTGTTAGTTATAACTATAACTGCAATTGTATTGAATTGTGTTGCATTGTAGTTGTAGTTAATTATTTTGGTGTTTGATTATTTATTTTTTAAAAGTATTATAAATGAAATATGATA